CCACCGCACTGGTCACCTGGGGGAAGCAGAGGGTCAGAGTTGGCACCCAGCCCTCCCCCCTCCCCTGTCCCTCTAGCCCCTCAGTCTCCAGCTTTCTCAGGGCTTGCCCAAGACTTCACTGCTCGGGCCCCGCTAGCCCTAGAGTCCCTGGTAGGGTGGGATGGTATTCATACCCGATCTCTGACAATGTCAGGCAGTCCCCCCAACCCATCCCGGGCAATCTCCAGGTAATCCGGCAAGATAACAATCTTCACATCCTCATCATATTCAAATTTCTCCTCGCTGAGGTCAAATCCGCCTTCCATGCCTGGTAAAACAGGGAAGAGGAGGGAGGGTAGGATGACCACCACAGGTAAATGTCCCTCCTCCCGTACAGCATCTCCTTGTGTCCCCCTCCAGAGCTCTAGGGGCACTGATCAGGCCCATTCTTCTGGGGCTTTCCTGGAATGCCTGAGAGCAGGGAAGACCAGTTCAGGAAGAACGGGACCATAATGGAACTCACCAATTGCCAACCGGGTGGGCTTCTTACGGGGGGGATCTCCAGTGCTTGTAGTGGTGTCCTCTTCCTTCTGAAATCAGGCAGGAAGGGCCAGGATCAGCAATGGGTACCAGGGAAGGGACAAATGGGGAGGATTGACAGGACAGAGGGGGTTAATCTTAGAAGGGAATGGAACTAAAAAAAAAAAACACAGGTGCTGAGTTCTAATGATACCAACAGAAATAGGTGAGAAGGGGAAATTGAGGCCAATAGGAGGTCAGAACGGAAGAGACAGATTCAAAATGGAGGTGCAGTGGAGCCTCAATGTCCCCCAGCCTCGCCCCAGCCCTGTCCCTACCGGGCGCCGGGTCCTCCGGAGGTGCAGGTAGACTCGCTGGCCTGTCTTGTTGAAATGTCTCTCCACATACTGTTTCCCAAAGCCCAGGAATGTGTTCATGCAGATGTACAGGCCACCCTCAGACTCCTGTAGTACGAGAGGCAGGGGGGAAAGCACAGGGAGGATGCAGCCTGGCCAGGTGGGGAAACCAAGACCCAAGGCCGGACGTTGCTGGTTTCCAAAAGAAAGGCTCTGTTCTCCAACACCACGTGGCTCTCAGGAAGTCATTTAGCCTTTTAGGACCTGGTATATGGCGAAGATTCTCGCCCCTCTCCTATGAATTTGATAACAACCAAGGATACCAGGGGCGGAAAAACACCTGTCAGTCATCATTCCTCTTCCTTCTTGGTCCTTCTTTGGGCTCTGGAGCCTTCCAATCAATTGCAGAGAACTCCCTTTACTTTTTTTTTTTTTTTCTTTTAAGATTTTATTAATTTACTTGAGAGAGAGAGAGCGTGCACAAGCAGGGGAAGAGGGAGAGACAATTTCCCCACTAAGCAGGACCCCAGGTTCATGACCTGAGCCAAAGGCAGACGCCTAACTGTTGGAGCCACCTAGGCACTCCCCTTTTCCTCTTTCCTTGAGGTAAACTGGAGTCAAATACTATGGATTTCCAGGGCCAGTGATTATATTCAGAGGGAAAAGGGGTCCTTTCCCAGGAGAGGAAAGGCCTGCATGCCAGACACATAACCTAAAGCAGGGACACAACGCCCTGTCTCATCTCCAGGACTCAGAAAACCTTCCGGACTCGAGGAGCAGAGATGCTAGCACTTGAACAATACACCCAATTCCTGAGCTTGCCAGCAAGCCCAGACTTTTCCTTTACCACACCCTACTAGGTCATTAAACCTTGGTCCACGCTGGGTCTTCTCCCTCCTTTCCTGCTAAAGCCTAGCTCCAGGGTAACAATGCCTTGTCCGGGGCTCACTGCTATACCTGGGTCTCGTTTGGCAGGGACACGAAGACCAGCATTCTCCAGCCACTACCCAGCTGCCTCCCCTCTGACCAATAACTAAAACCCCCACTGAAGTCCATCAACTGCCAACCTCAAAGCCATTCCCCCCATAGAATAATCTAGCAGCACCTGCTAAGACAGCTAAAACACATATAACCCAGGAAGAAAACAGGGAAAAACAAGGGTCCACCCCAAATCACAGCTAAGGAGAGAGGATGAGCTTCTCTAAAATGGAACAAGTCTGCCAGTGCCTTTGTGAATAGTGATGGATAAGGTGGAGGAGGTAATCGGAGAAAACAAGAGTCTTGCCTCAGATCTGAGCTACGACAGGCGTCTTCTGCCTTGAATACACGCCTCAGTGGCCTTGAAAAATTCTCTGTGATATGAAAAATAGGGCACTCTCTAAGGCAGTTCTTGGTCCCATTGATTGCTCTGTACCACTCCCTAGAACAGTGTGGATTACAACGTTGAGGAGCAAACAGGACATTTTTCATCAGGGAGGTCAAATAAGCTCCCTTCCTACCATGAACCCAATCTGAAGATCATCAAACATGCCGGAAGTCAGTTAGGAAAGCAACTAAGCCACACTGGAGATCTCCTGATTTGGGATGACAGGAGGAAAGTATAACAAGCTTACAAAAACACCATTTGGATTATTTGAAGCAGTTACTAAAGAGAGACAGACAGGAGTGTGAAGAGGGACCCACTGACTTCTACCATCTGTCGGTAATTAAGAAAAACCTTTCCCTCCTGAGAAAGACAGTGCTTCACCCCGCACTTGATGAACTGGGTGGCATGTGGGAGCTCCCCGGTAACCGAACTCCTTGGCTGGAAATAAAAATACACTGGTTTCCTCAAGGCTTGGGAACCCTGGAGCTCTGCTCTGAGCCGTCCTCTTTTAGCTTTGCCAAAGCCAGACTCCAGAGAAGCTGCACATTGTCTGAGGCTCAGATCAAAGCCTAGCAAACCAAGCAAACCACAAATCGCAGTGATGATCCTGAACTGGGCCTTAGATCATGCTGCTATACTCAGCACTGGCGATGCATTAATGAAGCCTTTCCACTCTGACTTGCAGTTTTCCCAGCCATGAGCTGGTCTGGCTCAACACCTTGGGCAGGGCCCAGCGGCCGCTCCTCGGGAGGGGTAGTGAGGGGGGCGGATCCCAACCGGGCTGCTGCCCTCTCAGTTAAGGCTCTGGCCAGGCCAAAGGTGACACAGGAAGGCAGAACTGCAGGAAGGGAGGTTCCGGGTGGAGCCTGCAAAACGTGAAGCATGGTGTGGGTGGAGGCTTTGTCTAACTAGTCAAGAGTGGGAGCGGGATGGAAAAGGGGTCTTAGTATCCTCCACGAAAGACACCGTCTCCCTGGGAATACTTTTAAAAGGGTTCCCTCTGCTCTCTGTGACGGGCGGGAAAAAGAGAGGGGGCTGCAGTCCCAGGTCACCTCGAAGGAGAAACGACTAGAGCTTTCCTCCCTTCTCTCTCTCCTCCCTACCACCAATGACCCACCTCCCCGCCCCCTGTCTATATTAACCATGGGTGGAGTCTCTCTAACTCGGCCCTTCTCAGAACCGGCCTTCTTCACAGTCCCCTCCAGACTACTAGGCGCCCACGAACTGCAGTCCCCACGCTCCAACCCTAACCCCGGCCCCGGACCGTGCGGGGTCGCCCCATCCCTCCCACACGAGACTACAAAACCCGGAGGGCCGTGCGCGGCAGGCAAGGCCAACTCCCAGGCTTTCGCAGGGGTCCACTTGGGGGATGTAGTCCGACGATCGGATGCGCCTCTACCTTGGAACGGCAATGAGGGGAGAGAGCGACTACGATCCCCACAGTGCTCCACGAGACGGGGAACGGGCGAGGCAGGCGCGGTGGCTTCCGGGGGCGGTAGTCATACGACAGCTCCGGCTAATTAAATGGAACGGCAGGGAGGAGCGTGGGAGACTACAAGTCCCATGGTGCATCGCAGGAAGGCGGTAGCCCAAGCCTTGCAGGCCCCGGCAAAATGACCAGGGCGATGGAAGGAAGTCGTGCTCGCTGCGGGCGTGGGGAATGGGCTTACCGGTGTGTCGAAAGAGAAGGCGCACTCGTCTTTGTGGACCCGGTCTCCAGCCTTAGGAACCCGGATCGTCGGTAATACTGACAGCAGCGCCTCCTCACTCAGCTCCGCCATGACACCGGCAGCAGCTCCTCCACACACAGCGGCTCCCACCGTTCCCAGTCCCCCACCCCCTAGGCTTGCCGTCCAATGAGCACTACTCGTTAGGTGCATGCGCTAAAGGGAGGACGCGCGAGAGTGGCAGTTGGACGTAGCCTGCCTACTAGTGCTCCGCCCTCTGCCCCACTCTTGACTAACGCCAATGAAAAGCGCTTCTAATGCAAGCGATGGTCGAGAGAACCAATCCCACACTCCCAAGGGCAGAGCGCATGTAGAGCAGCGAGGAGGGTCCCGGAGTTTTGGATGCTCGGATTCTGGGACCCCTACGGTCCCTTCGCGTGTCTTCTATCAAAGAGCAGAAACTGACTGTTGTTTAAACCAATCAATCCCAGAAACTTTCCTGGGTCCTGTCCAATCGGAAAGTAGAAGGCCAGTTGTACTCTTGGTATTTGAACAGGGGCTGTCCAATGAGGCGGAGTATGAGAGGGTCGTGCCGACTGACTGATAACTCCGTCAGCCAATAAGGATTACTAGCTCTGTCGCCTCAGAAAAAACCTTCATAACTACATCTCCAGTTGGATCTGTACAAAATCGCGTAAAAACTCATGACTCTATTTTTTTTAAATAAAATTCTTTGGGTTTTGAAACTGAAGGTGTTAAAAGCGAAGACCGGCACGCCTCAAAGTCTCACGACGGACAGCTCGAAACCCGTTGCGAAACAAAAGTCCCCTGAGCAGGGCGGTGTCAGCCCTGGGCCAGCCGAGCCGCTGCTCATTGGCCCCACGGTTCTCATGATAGACATCGCCCCCGCCCAATGGCGTCCCGCACTGGAGGCGGGTCTCACAAGGAGGCCCAGAGGAGCCTGCGTCGGCTCCACCAATAGAGTCAAAGCAGGGGGCGTGGCGGGAGGTTTGAAACTCGGCGTCGGGAGTTGAGGCTCCAGCTGCGGTGCACCCAGAAGAGGAATCGGGGCCTGGTAAGTGATTTGAGTTCATTAGCGAGTAAGTTAGAGGGCCCAGCGGGCCCGGAATGAGCCGGCCTGTCAGTTGCATCAGTCATTATCTCCACAGAGGCCTCTGGCCTGGCGGCCCGAAGGCTCCTCGGCAGGGAACCGGGAAGATCGGGTGGTCTGCAGTCAGAGGTCAGACGTGGTCGAGTTAATGGCTGAGACCTGAGTCATTTCTCACAGGCGTCCCCTCCTCGCCCCCGGCCGGGCCCTGCTCCACCTTATTCCTCCTGGATGAGATGGGCTCAGCCAAGAGCGCCCCGGTCACCCCGGCGCGGCCTCCGCCGCACAATAAGCTCCTGGCCCGAGTGGCGGACCCGCGTTCACCCAGTGCCGGCATCCTGCGCACTCCCATCCAGGTACGCCGGGACCGGGTGGGGGAGGCAGAGTCGGCCTTCGTGGGCCTCTGCCTAGCCTCATTCTGAGAAAGCCCTCACGCCCTCTTCTTTCTAATCCGAGGCCCAGTTTTCCACTTTCTTAATCCGGATGGGGCAGGCTGAATGCCCGAGGGCTTTGGCCTTGCCTGCCTGGACTATCCACCAGGGCCTAGAGACCTGGGAGGGAAGAAAGAGTCCAGGTCCAGACTTGTAGCCTTTGGTTCTGCCAGGTGGAGAGTTCTCCACAGCCCAACCTACCAGCAGGGGAGCAGCTGGAGGGTCCTGATCAGGCCCAAGACTCAGATCCCCGCTCTCCTACCCTTGGCATTGCACGCACACCTATGAAGACCAGCACCGGAGGTAAATGGTGGGCCCAGGAAACTCCGGTAAGGCTGTCACCTAGGATCCGTGGGTTGGGCTAATAAAGCCATCTTCTCCATCCTTTTGCTTTGAACCAATCTCACTCTTCTCTCAACGTTTCTCCTCTCGCCTTGATTTCTCTCTTCCCCTTCCCTCACCCACCAGGGCATGAATCCTAAAGCTCCTGTATCTTTTCCTCCTTGCTGAATGATTTGCCACTATCTCACTTGACTTCTCCCCTCTAGAACCCTCAAGCCCACTGGTGAAGCAGCTGAGTGAAGTATTTGAGACCGAAGCCCCCAAATCGAATCTGCCCCCAGAGCCTGTTCTGCCCTTAGAGGCAACTTCATCTTCTGAATTGGACTTGCCTCTGGGCACCCAGTTTTCCCTTGAGGACCAGACGCCACCCTGCAGCCAGACTGAGCTCCCCTCCAAGCAGGTGTTCTCCAAGGAGGAAGCAGGACAACCTTCAGAAACCCCCATGGCCAGCCAGGGCTCGGACAAGCCTTCAAGAGACCCTGAGACGCCCCGATCTTCAGGTACAGAATCTAAGGGCAAGGTAGAGGGAAAAGAAACAGGGATAATGTCCACGGATGAGTGTAGAAAGAATAAACTGTAAGCCCCTAATTTTGGCTTTTGCTTTAACCCCTTACCCACCCTAGGTTCTAAGCACAATAGACGGAAAGCAAATGGCAAGGTACTAGGGAGATCTCCCCTCACCATCCTACAGGATGACAACTCCCCCGGAACTCTGGCACCACGACAGGTAAAGGGGGAGAGGGTGAAAACTTACTGACCAAGGCAGGCTGGAGGGTGGGAGGCCTTTTTACCAGATCTTCCCTCTCCTGAACAACCAACCTCCCTCCCTCCAAATCACACACCGCTTTTGGCAGGGTAAGCGGCCTTCTGCCCTGAGTGAAAATGCTAGGGAGCTAAAGGAAGGGGCCATTCTGGGAACTGGACGACTTCTGAAAACTGGAGGCCGAGTATGGGAGCAGGGCCAGGACCAGGACAAGGAAAATCAGCACTTTCCAAACTTGGTGGAGAACTAGGCCGAGTGCGGCCCCAGCACTGGCTTCACCTGGGGCCGAGTGATGTTGCGTCCCCTCCATCCCATCTTTTCCCGGGAGACTGGAAAGGCTCGATGTCTTCAACCCCCCCCCCCAAACTCCTGGCTCGGGGACTCCGTGCTTTCTTGGGCTTTGTGTCTCATGTGTTTCTTGTATATTAAAGAAAGTGGTTTTAAATGATGTTTTTCAGTGTTCTACCTAAACCTTGCAGTGGGCTACTGTAGGTAGAGAAGCAGCCTGGGGAACTTGGGTTCCCTGTCTTCCAAGCCACTTTCACACGCTTCCCATAAGTCCTGGTGTTCCCCAGATCTCCGTCCTTGGCCTTTTCCTCTTGCGCTCCCTAGGTGTGCCCTTCTAGAGCTTTAACTATCATTTACTTATATTCTGGTAATTTCAGGTCCCTCCAACTAGCCCTGACCTTTATCCAACTGCCCTTGTAGGAACTACAGAGTCAGTTTGTCTAAAGTTGAATTTGTGCTCTTTCCCCCAAAACTCTTCCTCATACCCTATTCTCTATCCCTAGGAATAACAGCATTATCCTCCCTGTTGCCCAAACCTGGACCTTGGCCATTATCTTGGATGGCTCCCTCTTAATATCCCATACTCAAGCACTAAATCCTGGCGATTCTGTTATCTTTCATCTCTTCCCCATTCCTTTCCTTGCCCCCATGTCCTTAACGCTCTTATTTTTTTTTTTTTTTTAAGATTTTATTTATTTATTTGTCAGAGAGAGAGCGAGCGAGTGCCCAAGCAGGGGAAGCAGCAGGTAGAGGGAGAAGCAGGCTCCCCGCTGAACAAGGAGCCTGATGCTGGACTCGATCCCAGGATTCTGGGATCGTGACCTCAGCCAAAGGCAGCCAGCAGCTTAACCGACTGAGCGAGCCCCCAGGGGTCCCTCCTGCTCTAGATTTCTGGCCATCTCCCTCCTGCCTCGTTTTCCTCCAGTCTCCCCTCCCACCATTCCATCCACCTACACTGCCGCCAGGGTGACCTTTCTGAGAAACACAACTGACCATGTGACTCCTCTGCTCAGAACTCTTCAGTGGCTCCCCATTGCCCTTAGGATAAAGTCTCCGCTGGTATTCAAGGTCTGCTGTAATCGGATTCCTTCTCAGCATAACCTTCCTATACACATGGAGGTGGGCCAGTGGTAGTGAATCATTGGACAGATGCTCCGCTGGCCACCTAGAGAATACCTTCTCCTGATCTGTCTCTTGCCTTCTCCATGAGGCTTGGGCTTCCACCTCCCCCGCACTTTCTGCCCCCCAGCTGTTTGGTACCCAGCCTTTATCACTGCACCTGTAATACCTCATTACTTAAGTAGGGCCTGTGCCTTTTTGGCAACAGAAGTGGGGCAGAAGCCAAACATCACAGACATACACCGGGCACTACGGTTTATTGCAGGTCCTTTAGGAGGGAAATAAAGAAGGTAGAAAGTGGAGAAAACCTGAAGAAGGGGGCCAGGATCCTAATGTGTGCCAGAGCCATAGTCACAGGACTGAGCACCCTCTGCCACCCAGGTCTGGACAAAGGTAGTGGCTCTGGGGGCAGGGGGTGGAATTCCAGGGCCTGGGGCCTCAGACCAGAAGCCTGCCAGGCCCGCCCGGGGCTGGGGAGGGGCCAGTTATCCTTGCTCAGGACCGGAGAAGCTGCAGGACCATGGAGAGGGGAGGCCATGGGAGGAGATGGGGCAGTTCTTTGCCCCTGTGTCCCTGATGCTGCCTCCCAAAGGCATATTCCCCATTTTCCCCACTGCCCTCAAAGGACAAAGCTGGGTGGGGGTGGCAGCTGGGGCATAAAAGAAAAAAACCTTAAAAGAAAATGGGGCAGGGGAGGGGGCCACTGATTGTCTTCATGGCCTTTTACCTCCTCTCCTCCAGCCTCCTTAGTTCCAGACTTTGAGGAAGCTGTCCCAGGAGCCCGTGGCCACAGCCATCCCATCAGCTGTGACCCCCAGGCAGCTGACCCTGTTGTCATGGCCAGAGAGCATGCCTGAGGAAGAGAGAGACAAGTCAGCTTGTTAGCCCATGCTGCTTTGGCAAAGAGCACATGTGCGTCTGCAGGAATCCTAGGTTACATTGGCCATGACTCTCAGCCTTTGGCGGGGACTCAAAGAGGATTACCCTAAGGGGCAGGATTTCTCTTGAGGCCAATCTCTGTGGTGGGTGGGGTGGGGGGCCGAGAGGGACAGGAGAGGTCGGCCACACTAGTGTGCTATGAAAAATGCAAGGAGCACCTTGATGGACCCTAGAAAAGGGGGAGGTAGCTCTTTTGTCTCATTCCTGAGTTTCCAAAGGAAGAGACTGAGGCCCAGAGAGAAGTGACTTGCCTCAGGCCCTTGGACCCTAAGCAACAGAATTCAGATTTGGATCCTGACTCTCTGGCCAGTGGTATTTTCATTCAGCACCTGGCCTCTCCCAAGAGAAGCCACATGATCTGATTCAGCTTCAGATCAGGGTGGTCCTCATTAAGCCCCTAGGTTGGGGTGGCCTTGATTCTGCTTATTACAGTTCCCCGAGATTGCCCCTTCCTCCAGTGGATGGCCCTAACACTTCATAGGCCCTGGAAATCCAGAAGTGACTGGACATTCAAGGTCCACGGGTCTCAGGTGACACAGGAGCTCCTTTGGCAGAAAGCAGCTAGAGCACTGGGCGGTGGAGACAGGCCTCTAGAGATGATGGTCCTAGGTTGGGAAACCAAGGGGGACTGGATTCTAGGGGTAGAGCTCAGTGTCATTCAGTAATTAGGGCACAGGGGAAAGTGTCCCAGAAAAGAGAGCTATTAAGAAGGTCCTTCCCGCTGAGGTGGCGGTAGGGGGGCGGGGCTGGCCCTTACCCACACGCTCGCACTTCATGGAGTCCCAGACGTTGCAGTTGAAGTCGTCATAGCCTGCAAAGAGCAGGCGGCCGCTGAGGGAGAAGGCCACAGATGTGATACCACAGATGATGCTCTCATGGGAGTAGGTAGTCAGCTCCTGGTCTGCCCGCAGGTCAAACAGGCGGCAGGAGGCATCGTCTGAGCCTGTGCAGATGGCCTCTCCATTGGGGAAGAACTGAGGGTATAGGCAGGCGGCAAGGGGGTCAGGACTCAGACCTGGGTGGCCTGAGACCTCTCTCATCCTGAGGGCTCCAGGGCAAGCGCTATCCCGCAGCCTCTGCCTATCCTTTCCCCGGCACTCTTCGCCAATGACATTTGTCTCACACCAGCTGCATGCCAGTGGCTGCCCTACACCCTCCACTCGCCCCTCACTGCCGGGCGGAGCCGCAGGCAGGCATTATTTCCATGTTGCCGGCAGGAGCAAGAGGCTGAAGGAGGGCGGGCGGCTTGCCCAGGGTCACATGGCTAGAAGGGCGGAGGCTGTCCCCGACTCCCGCTCCGACTCCGGACTCCCAGCTGGATCAGGGTGTGGACGCAGAGGGCCAAGGGCAAAGGCATGACCTGAATCTCATCACGCGGAAATGTCAGATAAACTCAAAGGGACACAAAGCTTCAAGAAAATGGGGTGGCACTCTTCAAGAGGTCAATGGCCCGAAAGACAAAGGTAGAAAAAAGTTTTTCGGGTTTAAAAGAAAGTGAAAAGATATAACAAGGGAATGCAATGCATGTTCCTAGTCAGAAAAAACCATGGCTTTTAAGGATATTCTTGAGATAACTGGTGAAACGAGTATGGATATAGGCTGTGGACTCTACTGTGTCATTATTCAATCTGATTTTAAGAATTATACGGCGACCGTGTTAGAGAGTGGCCTTGTTTTTAAGAAACACGTACTGAAGTACTTAAGGGGTACAGAGGCATGGTATCTGCAACTTACTCTCCAAAGAGGAGAGAAAAAAAAGATAATAAAATATATCTAGGTGTCTGTGTCGGTCTCTCCATCCATCCCTCCCTCCATCTACAGAGAACGATAAGGCAAACGTGGTCAAATGTCAGCAGTGAATATGGGTGAAGGGTAGATGAGGGCTGTTTCTGTGACTCTCACAGCCTTTCTGTAAGGTGAAATTATTCCCATCAGGAAAGTTAAAAGGAGAGGGGGAGGGAACTAGGGAAGTAGTGTAGGATGTGTGTGGGGGGCCCGGCGAGGAGGTCTCTGGAGCTGGGGCGCAGAGGGGTGCTCACGCAGATAGCGTTGATGTCCGACTCATGGCCCGTGAAAGTCTGCCGGCAGGTTCCCTCCCGCACATCCCAGAGCTTGGCGCTGGCGTCACAGGCTCCCGAAATGAAGAGCTTGAAGTCAGGAGAGACAGCCAGACTCATGCAGTCCCCTGTGTGCCCCACAAACACCGTCTTCTGCTGCCCAGTCTCGATATCCCACAGAGCACTGGCGGGAGGAGGGGGGACGCTGTCACCCTGTCACAGAAAGGCCAGGCCAGAGCCGCACCCCAAGCCCCAGCATCCACAGCGTTCAGTCCTCACCAAGTGGTGTCCCCGGAGCTAGTCACAATGTTGTTGTCATCCAGGAAGCGGCAGCAGGAGAGATAACCTGGGGGTGGTGAGGACAGCGCCCTGGCTGCAGAGCGGAGTCCCTGGGCCTCTCCCAAGAGGGATAGGAAGAGAGGGTCACTCACTCACCTGTGTGAGCAGAGAGCTCCCGGCTGACCTTGACATTACCCTCACGGGACTTGAGGCTGTAGATGGAGCACATGTTGTCCAGCCCCCCACAGGCCACGAAGTTCCCTGATGGGGCGTAGGCACAGGTCATGACCCAGGAGGAGCGCAGCGGGATGGCATGCACCTGCAGGAGGGCGGGCAGAGGCAGGAGCTGAGCTCCCGGGTGGGGAGGATGGAGGCGAGGAGGCACAATGTCCCCCAGGAAGCAGAGGGCAATGGGGGGCTGGTGAGGCCAGTACCTTATTGGTGGTATAGGTGTCCCACACGATCAGCTTCCCGTCTTGCGAGGCACTTACCAGCAGCCTGGGGACAGGGCAGCCCACGTCACCCAAGCCTCTCCTTTCTGCCTCCCATCCCCACCCCTGGGTGGCCCTCAAGCCTCACTTGGAGTCGGTGGCCCAGTGCATAGCATAGATCTTGGCCAGGTGTCCCCTTAACGTCCGCCGTGTCCGCATCTGGACTCTTCCCACGACCTCTAGGCCTGACACCAGCTGCAGAAAAGGGGACACGAAATCAGGGTGAGTAGGACACATGCCTGGATATCAGTGTCCTGGCCACCAATCTGGACCAG